CCATCTCCCAGCAGGAGCCAGTAGGGAAAGTGAGTCACGGGAAAAGGCCTTCCTCTGTCGGGGGGCCGAGTGACAGGTGAGACTGCTTATTGGGTATGGGATACTGGGTGGATTTATGAATCTCGCTCTCTGAGCCTGAGATTTTCCTTCTGTAAATTGTTGGATTAGGGGAGTTAGGTGACACACATTCAGCGCTGGGTGGTTATCTTTGTGATTAAACTGCACCCGAACCCTGCCCACCAATTCCTACAACCACCAGGGATGGGCCCCCCTCGAGCCTCGGTAGGAAGCAGCTGGTTGCCCCGGGGGCTCCCTGATGGGGGGTGCTGGGCAGACTGAGCGAACTACGGGCATGGTGATGTGCCTCTGGTCGGTTCCGTACCTAGGCTTGAAGGCCACAGGGAGGGCAGGTACCCGAGTCCTGAGAGAGAGCAGGGGCCGAGGGGCACCCAGCGGGAGCCCTGGTGGAGGAGCCTCGGCGGGGGAGGGGGCAGTTGAGTGGGGGTGGGGCGGGAGGAACCAGCCACCAGCCATCCACGGGCCAGATGACAGGGCTGCCACCATGTGACTACAGGAGTGTGTGCCTATCTGGGGCGCCAGATCCGCTGATGGTGGCTGGTGGTGCCACCAGGTCAGCGCTGGTGTACCGATGCACTCCTGTGGACGAGGCCGACCTTGGGGATATGGGTCATGGCCATCCGGGCACTCCAGGACTCAGAGGGGACAGAAGCGTGGTGGAGACTCGCAGGAGGGTCTGGGTGAGTGTTTGGAGGAAGTGAGGGGTCCCAGCCCTGGTGACCAGTGGTCAGTGGGTTTCCTTGGCAGTCCAGTGTGGCCTGGTCAGCTTCTCCCGTGCCCAGGGCCTGAGGATCAGCGGGTGGTCGGACGCACAGCACAGGGAGCAGCCAGGTTCAGAGTGTGTGTGACTTGAGGCTTTTCGCTGGTTTCTCTGCGAAGCTCTTGGATTTGGGTGTTGCAGTGGGGAGTCCGAGGCTTTACTGGAAAACTGGTGCAAGCGAGGCCCAGGGCCTGGGCTGGCCTCTTAGGCACCCAGCTCTCATGCCTGAGCTCCCTGCACTCTGTCCAGCTGAAAAGCCCACCTGGGGGTCCAGCGAGATCCACAGGGCTCTCTTCTGCTGAGTTTCAGGGTGGTGGGGGTCCCGTGGGGTAGTACGTCTCGGGAACCAGCATTCGGAGCCCAGGTCGTGTCCTGGGACAGCTGCTGGGGGGCTGCTGGCGGGGCAGGGGGCTGGGACTCTGCGCAACCGGGGCTGCACTCCATTGCTGAGCTTGCGAGGCGGGTGTGAGGGGGCTGGTCCTTTCTGACCTGGCCGTGCTGCCTGCCCTGCCATCTGTCCCGCCCACCTGTCCCACCATCTGCCTTCTCTTCTTGTTCCCTTCCTGGAGCTTGGCTGCGACTGCGCTGCTGCCCTGCAGTGACAAGGCATCCTTCTAAGGTTCTTCCGCTGCAGTGTTTACTTCCTATTTGGGAAGCAAGAGGCGTGAGAGGGATCCTGCCCTGGTCACTCTTACCTCCTCCTCTCTCCCACGTGGGGTCCTCAGTATCCTTAGAATGAGACCTGGGCTGGCCGCCAGCCCTGCCGTGTCCACTGATGTGACCTTGGCCGTTAGTCTTCTCCATCTGGGTCAATGTTGGGCCACCTCACAGAGGGGTCTGGGTGGTACCCGCTGAGGCACAAGCAGTGCTCTGCACCGGGCTAGGGACACTCGTGGTTCGTGCCACATTCTGCCGCAGCCCAGCTGGCCAGCCTCACAAAGGCTGGGTCCCTCCAGCATTGTCACATGCCTGGCTCAGACGGACTCCTGAGGGCGGGGCCTGAGCTCACACCCACCTGCATCCTGTATCCCACATCTGCATTCACATCTGCATCCCGCATCCCCATCCTGCATCGCAGAACAGGTGTTTGAATCAATGGGTAATTTCATCAGCTTTACAAAATTAGTTCTGAATTAGTCAACTTTTGCACTTTGGACTGACTCAGTACTGCTGTGTTTTTGGGTATTTGAGGCTTCTTTGGGGCTGCTTGTTCACTACTCTTCTAACCTCCTAAGCTAAATGCTACCTTCATTAATTTTATTTTTGTCTTGTAACAGTGAAATCTGTCATTGCTATGAATTTATTTTGAGAAAACATTGACATCGTGTGCCAAACAAGACATTCCTACTGGGCTCTATTTTATTCTCTTATAGTTTTTATTTCAAAATTGGGTGAGTACTTCTTTGTATTTATATCAATTGATTCTCTTTGCTGTGGACATTTTACTTAGGGACATTTAAAAGTCTAATTTAGGGGCTTCCCTGGTGGTCCAGTGGTTAAGACTCTGCGCTCCCAGCGCAGGGGGCCCGGGGTTTGATCCCTGGTCGGGGAACTAGATCCCACATACCGCAACTAAGAGCCCGCACGCCGCCACGAAGATCCTGCGTGCCGCAACTAAGACCTGGTGCTGCCATATAAATAAATAAATGTAAAATAAATAAATAAAAGTCTAATTTATAATTTGATTTTAAATGTCGTTGAACGAGGCTGCCTGATTCAAACCAAAGAGAGAGAGTTCCTGTTCCTATCTTTACCTTCCTCCAGTCGGCAGGCCTTCGAGCTGGCCTGAGGGTGACCCTGCCCTGCTGGACCGATTTAGTTCTGAGTGATGAGCCGGCTGGAGACTGCTGTGTTTGCTTCGTTCTCTGCATACTTAGAAATGGAAACGTAGCACCAAAATTTTCTTTTGGATTCTGTTAATCAGCACAGAATGAGTTTTGTAAGTTGTGTTCATTCATTTCCTGGACTTCTGCCCGGAGGTTCTGTCTCCCTAGTGTCTGGGATGTCCGGGTGAGTATGGCGGCCGCACTCAGTTAAGATTCTCCTGCTGCTCCTTGGCACCCCCGGGAGACACAGGGAACTTTTGATTCTTCTCTGGAAATGCCAGTCCTGAGGGGGCTGGAAAGCTGTCTCGGAATATCACTTAAAATTTAAAAACCAAAAAAAAAAAAAAATCAAAAAAAAAATTAAAAACCACACAGATCTTTTGTGTCTCAACAAAATAAAGATAATTGTTAGGTTTAAAAATTTTTTTTTTATTCTCTAGTTTCTGCTGTGTGTGTGTGTGTGTGTGTGTGTGTGTGTGTGTGTGTGTGTGCGCTCAGCTCTCTTTTTGCTAATGGTCAACACATTCGTAGGTGTGCTCTTAAGGTCTTTGATTTACTGAAAACAAAGCAAGGTGAGCCCAAAGGGTTTGTCTCTGTGCATCGATTCCAAGGTGGCAGATTCCACCACGCCCACCCGTGCCCTTCGCAGGGAGAGCGGGAGGCTGTTCGTAGTCACGGAGACGTTTAGCCCATGCAAGGCTCGTGGGGGTTGGCTGGGGTCCTCCAGGACTGGGTGCTGTTGTTTTCTTCTCTGGCCTCTCCCCGGGCAGGCAGGCCCTTTCCAGTTCTCCACAAGCCCCACTGCTCCCTTTTGTCTTCTCCCCCATGTAGGTGTCTTCCAGGCCCTGAAGGCACGAGATTGAACCCAGGTTGGGGGGGTCAGAGGGCAAGGGTGTCTCTCCCTCCTCCCAGCTTCTGAAACTAAGAGGAGGCTCCAGGGTGGGAAATGGGTCCAAATGGGCCTTAATGGAGGGATGTGGGTCGGGGTGGCGGAAGCTTGACTCAGGGTGGCAGGGACAGTGGGTGAGGGCACCATTCAGAGTCAGCCGGCTCCCCACCTCCCAGACCCTCTCCTTCCGTCTTTCCTTCCGGTCAGCACAACAGGAAAGGGGCAAAAATGTACTGCCAGCCCCTGACCCCAACCTGGTTCCTGTCTCATCAGGGAGGGGTCACTGGTGGCCCTCCTGGGCGTGAGTCAGCTGAGCCCATGGAGGGGGCCAGGGTCTGGACCTGCCCCATTCCTGGCCGTGTCCCTAGCCCTGCATCCTTGGCAGTGGGTGCTCAGGTGCCTTTGCTGGGTGTGTGCACGGATCGGTGAATCCCCGCCACTCTCCTGTGGAAAAGTCCCAGGGAGGTCTCCCATTGGCCCTGCCTGGGTCACATGTCCGCCTCCTGGGCCAATCACTGAAGCCCCCCTCCCCCCTGCCCAAGGTCGGCTCAGCCTACCTGAGGGGCTTACTCACCACCCCAGGGGTTTGGGCCAGCATCGCGAGTGACCCAGAGTCAGGCACTGATGAATAACCAAGTCCCCTGATTGGAGGAAAGAACCACCCTGGGAAGAGCCACGTAGGGGGAGGGGGCGGAACCCGAGCTCCATCGAGCAGTGAGCTGAGAAATTACAAAAATAAGTTACCTTATGTTCAACAAAATGTAGGGTGTAAAGACAGCCATGTGCTGATTCTTAGGTAGAAAAAGGAGGGAACCGAGGGTTGATTGGGTGTCTTTCCTTCTCTTCTGTCTTTCTCTGTCCCATCACGAAGGGCACCTTTTATAAAAACATGTTTGAGGGCTTAGCAACCCTTCCCGAGGGCTTGTCCTAATCCTGGAGACCCAGATCCAAGGGGACATCCTTTGGCACATCGGCTGGAGGGAGCACAGCGCGGAGGCCTGGGGTGGGCGTGAGCGCGTGGACAGGACAGCACGTGGCCGGCGGGGCTGGAGGGTCGGGAGGCCGGCAGGACGGGCGGAGGCGCACGGAGCTGGGCCTTCGCTCCAAGGGTGGGGTTACGCCTGAAGACCCAGAATCAGAAGAACGCCCCGTGCCTTTCCCGGGAGGTGAGCCTCTGAGAGAAGCGTTTCCCGCCACAAAGCCCCGCACCTCCTGGGTCGTGGAAACTGGGCCGAGCGCTGGGGGGAGGCTGGGGAGCGGGCCGCGCCCTTCCTTCAGCGGCCGCCTTCATCCCTTCAGCTTAGTTTAGGACTAAAGCTCCTTTCTGAGCGCTGATTCCACCGTCCCGCGCCCCGGCCCCCCCCAGCCCTCGTCTGGGGTCCGTCTCCCCGCCCCCGGGGCCTCGGGGGAGCCGGCGGGGTGACGGCCCCGCCCACGGTGGGGACAAGGCCACGCCCCCCGGGCGGCGCTCACCCGCTCTCTCCCCGCAGCGGTCGGACCCGCAGCTGCTGGCGCAGTTCTACCACGCGGACGAGGAGCTGAGCCAGGTGGCCGCCGAGCTGGACAGTCTGGACGGGCGGAAGGACCCCCAGCGCTGCACGCTGCTCGTCAGCCAGTTCCGCTCCTGCCAGGTGAGCGGCGGGACGGAGGGGAAGGAGGGCGCGGGCCAGGGGAGCCGTCTCAGGGGGGGAAACCGGACCGGAGTGGGGCGGGGGGGGGGGACATCCCAGGGACAAGAGCAGGCTGGAAGGGGCGGGTTCGCGGGACACCCTCGGAGAGGACCGTGGGAGGACGAGGAGCCGGCACGGGGAAGGGGACGACGGCCCGCGGGGCCGCCGGGGAGCTGGCAGGGTGGCGACCTCCTGCTGTAGGGTTCAGCTGGTCCTGGACACCATGCTGGGAATTCCTCTCGGTTCCCTGAACCCGGGAGGCTTCACCAGCACGAGAGCACGTGGATGAAGCAAGTTTTGTCAAGTGACCGTCTGGGTCGTTCACCAAGTTCCAGAACCTTCTCGGTGTATTCAGCCCACCAGTCTGAGTCCCTCCACCGGGGAGGTGAGGGCTGTGCGTCCTAGATCACAGGGGTGGGTCGGGGAAGCAAATGTCCCATCGTGTGTTTCAAGCATCAAGGGTTCTTACAGACTCCTTGAGGGGGCGGGAAGAGTACACCCCGTCCCATTCCCATCTCTCAGGAGGGTCCAGGGACCAAGGGGACAGGAGGGTCTCCTGACTGGCTGGTCTGTCGATGCCCTGCTTCCCCACCGGAGGATGTCCTTCCTGGCCCTCAGCTCGCCCACCGCTGGCAGCGAGGAGGCCTCTCTCTGCCCCCTCCCCCCACCACAGGGTGGGGCTCCCTGCAGGGGACTGTTTACTCCCAAGGCCACTTATGCCCGCTCACTGGCTATTGTAACTGCATGTTACACAGAGTGACCTAGTGGGGTGAAACTCGGCTTGTGCCTTGCAGAGCCTCGGCTGGGGAAATCAGAGAGGGGGGACGGCCCTGGGACTGGATGCGTGTGAGGCCACTTTGAAAACGTCGAGAAACGAATCATAAAAATCAGCTAAAGTAGTTCACGCTCACATAGCGACACAAGCATCTTTCACTTCTCACTGCTCTCTGAAGACCCCTGTGTCGGGGTCCCCAAAGCCACCCTGGGCTTCCAGCAGGAGGACACACAGGGCTCACATATACTCAAGGCTCTGATCCATCACAGTGAAAGGCTGTGAAGCAGAACCACCAAAGGGAGAGGGCCTGGGGCCGAGGTCCAGAGGAAAGAGGCGCCAGCTTCCAGAACCCCGTCCCGTGGAGTCACATGGGCTGCGTTCCACCCCCAGCGACACGCTGTCCCCAGGGAAGCTCATCAGAGACACAGAACCGGAGCTCTCATTGGGGGTCCGCAGGCCCCTCTGTCGGGCACACACTGAACTCCAGCCCCGGGGAAGGGGGAAGGGTGTCAGCACAGACACAGCAGGGGAGGCCAAGGGAGCCCCCCGGAGCCGTCCATCCCGACACCCCAGCTCCCGGACGCCAGCCCAGGGCCAGCCTCGCACGCAGGCCTCGCAGAGGGCGGCAGCCAGGCCCGCTGGGAGGACTCCTCTCCCCACCAACGCGTGGCTGAAAGTTATGGCTGAGGCATCCTGGGTTCTGGCTCTGTACTCAGCTGCCCGCCCCAGGAAAACGGACTTAGAAGAGGCGCCAAAGTGAGCCTCCCCGTGTGTACCGTAACTTCATAAAGGCTTGTCACTCTCACATTTGTTTCACTGGCCAGTTACTGGGGCTCCTTGTTTTGTCAGGGGCTCACACTACAGTGAATTTCTACAAAGCTCAGCTATTTAGGTTGGAAAGTCACTTTTATTTCTAACACCTCTCTTGAAACAGGTACTTTTTTTTTTTTTTTTTTTGGCTGTGCCGATCGGCTTGTGGGATCTCAGTTCCCCAACCAGGGATTGAATCAGGGTCATGGCACTGAAAGCCCGGAATCCTAACCACTAGACCACCAGAGAACTCCCCAAAACAGGCATTTTGCCATTTCTAATTTTCATTGACCTTCATGATGCTGCCAGTTTATTTGTTCATTCATTCATTCATTCAACAGCGCTTACTTGCAGAGGTGCCCCTGGGCAGAGGGTGGATGATGTCATAGGAGGGAGCCAGGCAGGCGCAGGGGAGGTGGGCATTTGGCAGGCCGTTGTGGTCAGGGAGGGGCTTCGACAAAGGCCGAGAGCACGGGGTGATGTGTGTGATCACAGCACGAGAACCGAGATAACGTGCTGATCTGACGGAGGCGGCTGGCTCCAGCCCACTCTGCCGGGTCACTTGCTGGCCTTGATTTTAGAGCACGGTTGCCCTGGGGAGGTCACCCAACTCCAGATTTAGCTGGTCCCCCATCCCCCGAAGTTCCCAGCACCTGTAAGTCAGTTCTAGAGGATGTGGACGCCCCCGCCAAGTACCCAGAGGTCATGAATTTCTCGGCCCTGGGTAGTGGCTCAGCCCCCTGTCAGGGGCACCTCAGGCCTCCCAGGTCCCATCAGACCAGGTGGAGCCTCAGCTGAGCAGGGGGCATCTGTGCAGAGCACGCATGGCAATGCCAGCCTGGCCTGGCTCTGCTTTCCGGGGGCCCCTGCGGGTCCTCACGTTGGTCTCAGTGCCGCTCAGGTCATACCTTCTGTCTGGGGTCAGCTGGACAGGCTGGTGCCACGCTGCGTGTGGTGTTTTGAACCTTCTGACCCGAAATGGGGTCTTCTAGCTAAGTCTCCAGCCTGACCAGGCACGCAGCAGAGGCCCAGTGAACCGCAGCTGCTCCTGCCATGCGGCCCTGTGGAGGGTGAGGCAGGTGGGTTCAGCCTCGCTGGGCTGACTCTCATCCCAGTTAGAAGGAATCTAAGTAACGCGCCTTTGCATAAACTAAACTTTCTTCAGGAAAATTGTGGACTGGGGCACACATGAGTGTGCAGGTGGTTTCTGATGACTTTTGCACGGGTTTTCATTTTCCTTCTTGCTTCAGAAAATCATAAAGGATTTAAGAAATCATTCTGATGGCGCAGTAGGATGAAATGAATTCTGGGTTGTTGTTATGCACTGAAGTGTGTCCCCGCCTCCGCCCCAAATTCATGTGTTGAAGCCCTAACTCATAGCGCCTCAGGTGTGACTGCATTTGGAGATGGAGCCCTTAAAGAGCTGATTAAGGTAAAATGAGGTCACCGGGGTGGGCCCTGATCCAATCTGAGTGGTGTCCTTACAAGAAGAGGCAGTTAGGACACAGAAAGGCACAGGGGGACGACTACGTGAGGACACTAAATCCCTTATCAGACAATGATTTGCGAACATTTTTTCCCAGTCTGTGGAGTATCTTGTCATTCTCCTAGCAGTTTTTTGAAGAGCCTAAGTTTCAAATTTTGATGAAGCCCAATTTACCTATTTTTTCCTTATATAGATCATCCTTTTGGTGTCATATCTAAGAAATCTTCGTCTAACCCAAGGTCATCAAACCTTCTCATTTTCTTTCAGAAGGAAAGAAAGGTTTTATATTTATTTATTTGGCTGCGTTGGGTCTGTTGCTGCACGCGGGCTTTCTCTAGTTGCGGCAAGCGGTGGCTACTCTTCCTTGTGGTGCGCGGGCTTCTCACTGTGGTGGCTTCTCTTGTTGTGGAGCACGGGCTCTAGGCACACGGGCTTCAGTAGTTGTGAGGTTTTTATATTTAGGTCTCTCATCCATGTTGACCTAACTTGAGTATATGGTGTGAGCTTTCAACCAACATTCATATTTTTTTGCAAATGAATTTTCAATTGTTCCAGCATCATTTGTTGAAAGATCATCCTTTCTCACTGAAAAGACTGTCCTTTTTGTACTAAATTGTTCTTGCACATTTGTTGAAAATCATTTGTCCATATCTGTGTGTGGGTCTATTTCTGGGTTCTCTAGTCTGTTCCGCTGATCTGTCCTAAGGCCAGTATCACACTGTCTTAATTATGGTAGGTTTAAAGTAAGTTGTAAAATCAGAGGGCCTCAGATCTCCAACTTTGTTCTTCTATTTCAAAGTTGTTGTGGCTGTTCTAGGTTCTTTGCATTTCCAAATGAAACATAAAAACAGCTTGTAGATGTCTACAAAAAGGCCTGAGTTTTTGATTGGGATCGCATTTAATCTATAGATCAATTTTGGGAAAAGCATTGAGTTTTTCACCATTCAGTGTGATGTTAGCTATCGTAGGGTTTTCATAGATGCTCTTTTTCAGGCTGAGGAAGTTGTCTATTCATAGCTTTCTGAGAGTTTTATCAGGAATGGATGGATGTTGGATTTTTTTCAAATGCTCTGTGTCTGTTGAGGTTATCGTGTGTTCTCCTTTCCTCTTAGTTTGTTGATGTGGTAAATTACATTTAGATTTTATTAACTGTTTTTATTACTGTCCGCCCCATCACCCACAGCAACAGCATCAGTAACAGCAGCTGATCCGGGAGGGACAGATGGGATCAGCCCCTGTAAGGTTCCTACCGTATGTGTGAGGTGGTATGGAACTCTTTGAAAGTAGTCTTATGTCTTTCTGTCATACGTGTTCGTCTTACATGTGTTCAGACTCACACTATATTGTCAGTGTTTTTGTTTAAACAGTCAAATTTTTTGTAGAGAAAATTAAACAATAATAAAGGATCTTGCATTTTTCCCGTGCAGTCGCCCTTTCTGGTCTCTCTGTTCCTTCGTGAAGATCTCAGTTTCCATCTGATGTCTTTTTCCTTTTGCACGCAAGACTTTCTTTAGTGTTTTCTGTAGTGCGAGTCTGCTGGTCATGAATTCTTATCTTGCCATCAGTTTGGAAAGCCATTTTTGCTGGGTTTAGAATCCTAAGTTATCATTTTCCCTCAATACTTGAAAGATGTTCTTCCACTCTTCTCACTTGCATTGTTTCCAGTGAGAACGCTAACGTCGTCTTACCTTTGTTCCTCGTATGTACAGTTTTTTCTCTTGCTACTTGTGAGATTTTCTCTTTTTATTAGTTTTCATCAGTTTGATTATGCTGTGACTTTGTATCGCTTTCTTTGTGTTTCCTGTGCTTAGGGTTCATTGAACTTCTTGGATCTGTGAGTTTATAGTTGTCATTAAATTTGGGGAAAAAATTAGTCACTATTCCTTCACATATTTTTTTGTTTCAGTTCTTCTCTTGGGTCTTAAATTATACGTATTTTGACATATTGAGGTTGTCCCAGAACTCACTGACGGTCTATTATTATTATTGGTATTTTCTCTCTGATAAATTTGGGAAGTTTCCATTGCTATGTCTCCAAGTTTATTGTTCTTTTTTTCTGACCTGTCTAATCTGAGGTTAATCCCATCCAGTGTATTGTTGTTTTCACCTCAGATACTGTAAGTTTTGTCTCTGGATCCGTTTGAGACCTTTTTGTTTCTTCATTGATTCTACGTAACTTTCTGAACACACACAAGTCAGTTATGACAGCTACCTTCATCCCCTGTTCTATCACCTCTGTCAGGTCTGGGTTGGTTTCGATGGGTTGCTTTTTCTTTGCATCATGTGTCATATTTTCTTAATTCTTTGCAAGCCTGGTAATATTTAAAATAATTTTTTAAAAATTTATTTATTTATTTATTTTTGGCTGCGTTGGGTCTTTGTTGCTGCACATGGGCTTTCTCTAGTTGCAGTGAGCGGGGGCTACTCTTCATTGCGGTGCGCAGGCTTCTCATCGCGGTGGCTTCTCTTTGTTGTGGAGCATGGGCTCTAGGAGCGCGGGCTTCAGTAGTTGCAGCACGCAAGCTTCAGTCGTTGTGGCTCGCGGGCTCTAGAGCGCAGGCTCAGTAGTTGTGGTGCATGGGCTTAGTTGCTCTGTGGCATATGGGATCTTCCCGGACCAGGGCTCGAACCCGTGTCCCCTGCATTGGCAGGTGGATTCTTAACCACATGCCACCAGGGAAGCCCAAGCCTGGTAATTTTTCTTTTTTTTTTTTTTGCGGTACGCGGGCCTTTCACTGTTGTGGCCTCTCCCGTTGCGGAGCACAGGCTCCGGACGCGCAGGCTCAGCGGCCATGGCTCACGGGCCCAGGCGCTCCGCGGCATGTGGGATCCTCCTGGACCAGGGCACGAACCCATGTCCCCTGCATCGGCAGGCGGACTCTCAACCACTGCGCCACCAGGGAAGCCCAAGCCTGGCAATTTTTTAATTGGATGCCTGACCTTGGGAATTTTATCTTGCTGAGAGCTGAATATTTTTGTTTTTCCATAAACTTTTTGAGCTTTGTTCTGTGATACAGTTTGGTTACTTAGAAATGGTTTGATCCTTTTGCATCCTGTTTCTTTAAGGTGTTAGGCAGGATCAGAGCTGTTTAGTCTGGGGCTAAGAATAGTCTGCTACTGAGGCAAGACACTTTCGGGTACCTACCCAATGCCCTGTGAACCGTGAACTTCTCTACTCTTCGGCCCTGTGCCCAGCTGAATACTCAGGGACCTCCCCAGAGGCTGTCTCCCTGGGCAGCTCACTTATGTCTGCTACTCTGTCCTCTGGATTCTGGCTGCCTTGGTCTCCCCGGGCTCTCAGCTCTATATCTCTTCAACTAGGGAGTTTGCTGGGTCCCACGTGGGTACCCTCTGTCTGTGCCACGACCTGAAAATTCCCTCCAGGCAGTGAGTTAGGCAGTCATAGCTCCCATCTCGTTTGTTTCTCTTCTCTGGGATCACTTATTGCTTGATGTCCAGTGTCTGGAGAACCGCTGTCTCATTTGCTTCCATTATTGTTGTTTGAAGAGGTAAATTTCATGCACATCGCTCCACCTTGGTTGGAATTGGATGCCCCAGTAAACGTCCGTTGAGGGACACTGTGTGTTCAGCACTGCTCTATCACTGGGGACCCATCAGTGCAGGAAAAAAGCCCTCACCCTCAGGCAGCTGCCATCCTGGGGCTGGGCAGGGTGGGATCACTGCCACTAAAAGGCCACACAGGGCTTCCCTGGTGGCGCAGTGGTTGAGAGTCTGCCTGCCGATGCAGGGGACACGGGTTAGTGCCCCGGTCCAGGAAGATCCCACATGCCGCAGAGCGGCTGGGCCCGTGAGCCATGGCCGCTGAGCCTGCGTGTCCGGAGCCTGTGCTCCGCAATGGGAGAAGCCACAACAGTGAGAGGCCCACGTACCCCAAAAAAAAAAAAAAAAAAAAAAAAAGCCACACAGCTTTGGGTGAGCCCTGCCACCTTGCTGGGCTAAGATTCCTGGCTCTCAATACCAGCTGACGTTGTCTGAGCACTTGCTGTTATTTTTGCCATTTGTTCATTACTTCGTTGAATCGTGAGAAAGAGACCTGCCCACCCAGAAAACCTTTTAAACAGAGCTGACAGTAGGACCACTTGATGTTGGTTGGATTTATTTTTATGTTTTGTGCGATTTCCTTATGGTGCAGAATTTCCTTCAGAATTTAGTGCATCAGTTGTTTGCATTAGAAAGTCATGCTTCCCGCTCACATCTACTGCCTAAGAAAAATGAAACTCAAGCCTCAGAGGGTGGAGAGGACTGTTGAGATACGAAATCGCTGAGGGTGAGGGTGTGCTGTCTTTTTTTGGAAGGCAACTCGGTGGAATGTAATTAGGGCCTATGAATGCACTTCACACTCTTTGACTTTGTAATGCTACTCCTAGGGATGAGTGGATTCTGAGGGACTAAACCCAAGATTCAGTGTCAGGCACCGCAGTGGTGATTGCGCTACTCACGGTAAATTACAAATGACGTAAATGTCCAGCAGAAGAGGAAGCAGGGAGTTAAAAGGATGGTCCGTGTGCTGGAATCTTACGTGGCTCCCCGTCACAAGCTGGATTTGTGGAAAGTGATAATAACACGTCCCAACAGTAAGTGACAGCAGCAGAGTACAAAATTACGTCCACAGATGATCCCAACCGTGCTGCTGATGGGAAGCAGCCCACGGGGACGAGAACCGGAAGGAAGCATGCCACCTGCAGTCACTGTCCCCACCTGCAGTCACTGTCCCAAGGACATTCCCTGCCCCTCCACTTTCCCATGTTTCCAGTTTCTCTGGGATGAATGGGTATTAATCTTACCGTTAACAAATTAAAGAAACAAACTAAACTTTCAACATTCTTACAATTCTACTGAATGGATGGTAGACGTTTAAAGAACAGGACAGTTTTGAGAAAAGAATGGGATGTAATTTAAGATGCAGTAAAACACGTTTGAGAAGACCAGTCTTACACGTGGTCTCCTAGTGATGTCTGTCCCGACAGCAGTCTTGCCTGTGTCGCGATCATGCCCAGGGTGACACAGGCTTATATGTTAATCAAAGCAGCACAGCAAGTGGGTGGTGAAAATCCACTTTTTGTGTGTCTGTCCACCTAGCAATTCCATTTCTCCAGCTCTCTCCTAAGAAATTTGTGTACAGGAGTTCAGAGAGATGCTCGGGGCGGTCATCGTGGCTGAGGCTGCAGGGAGCCCAGGTGCGCGGGTCAGCAGGGAAAGGTACAGCCGTCACAAAGGGCGAGGCACCGTGAACTTGGTGACTGACGTGGGAAGCGCCCTCAGCCCTCGTGGCGGGTGCTCTAGACACCTGGACGTGGGGAAGGGGGTGCTCTTCACTCTGGTTACTTCTGGAAAGTTTGAGCTCCTGGTAGCAGTTGCAGAGCAGGCCCACGTGTGCTACCACATCACCCCGTCATCCTAACCTGCACTGGGCTTGCTTCTCCGACTTGCCAAGCAGTCCTGTCAGCCGCCAGCTGGAGCTGCGTCTTAGCGCACTTCCTGTTTCTGTTTCAGGACAACGTGTTAAACATCATTAACCAGATCATGGATGCGTGCATCCCCCAGGACCGCGCCCCACGGGATTTCTGTGTCAAGTTCCCCGAGGAGATCCGGCACGACAACCTGGCCGGCCAGCTCTGGTTTGGCGCTGAGGTAGTGGGTGGCCGCCGGGGTCCGGGGTCACGGTGCTGGGCATTGTCCCGCTGTCTCTCTACAGGGCTCACCTGTGCGCACCTACAGGTGCAGGGCCCGGCTTCTCCTCCAAGGGTTACAGACGGTGCTGAGCCTGTCGGGTGGCGGGCAGGCGAGAACATGCTCCCTGGAAACTATACACAAGCAAATATAGACACGAGGCCTCACACGCGATTTCTATGAGGTTCTCAGGCCCCCAGACACGTAGGGCCTAAAAGCGGTTCTTTATTACAATAATGCTGGTATTCGGAACAGCACTGCCGGTCCTGCACCCGCAGGACTGTTTCTTCTTGCGGGGCGGGGCGGCTGCGCCCTGGCCCACACTCCAGCCGCCACTCACAGAGCCCCTCCGATCTTGGCCTTCACCTCCCGAGGAGGAACCTGAGGCACGGGAGGGAGGTGCCCGCCCGGGGAGGCAGGACCAGCCTCACCCCAGCCAGTGGTGACCCGTGGGACACCCAGACGACCCCTTGGCCTTGCTCTCGGGACCCTAGGGGCGTGCGCTGCCCCGTCCTCCCCGCCTCAGCTCTGCAGGACTCCTGGAATTCCCCCCTCCCCCACGCTGCCGGGCCCTCGTGCCCACCGGCTGCCCCCTTCCAGCCCATTCCACCCGGCTCCTCTGAGCCGCACCTGGTTGGGCGTGCCTGCTGGGGCCCTGAGTAGGCCGTCTCTCCCCCCAGCCTCAGTGCTCAGCTCTGCAAAGCGGGTCCCAGGGGCAGGGGCAGCTGTGCAAGCCATGAGGTGATGCAGGGAGCCTTTATGGACACGAGGCATCTGCTTCTTAGAACGCCTGGATTTCCTGGGGAGTCGCGGTCAGTCCTGGTGCGGTGGACCTGGAGTACGGCCGGAACCTGGCGTCTGTGGGCCGGGTGGGGAGGGGACAGGAGTCACATGGCCCGGAGGCCCCTGCATGGAGCCCCCAAACCCGAGGGCATTTGTTCTCACCGCCATGATGGCTCTGCATCTAAGAGAAACCAGGAGGGAGCAGGCCCCCCAGAGCGGAGGGGGGAGGGGGGCAGGAATATGAGGGAGGGGCTCCCGGAAGGGAGGCCCAGGAGGCGGCTCTGGGATGAGGCGCTCCAGCCCCGCCGTTGCTCTGCCCTCCGGTCCCACCTCTGGCTGTACAGTCTTCTCGGGCGCCGTGGGGGGGTCCTTTCTCAGCGCCCGCTGTCGTGGGTTCCGGAAGCTCGCACGCTCCGGGCGCCGAGGACACGCGGGTGGGGCCTCCCTGACGCTCTCTGCCGCCCGCAGTGCCTGGCCGCTGGCTCCATCATCATGAACCGCGAGCTGGAGAGCATGGCCATGCGGCCGCTGGCCAAGGAGCTGACCCGCAGCCTGGAGGACGTGCGAGGCGCCCTCCGCGACCAGGCGCTGCGGGACCTCAACACCTACACGGAGAAGATGCGGGAGGCGCTGAGGCACTTCGACGTGCTGTTCGCCGAGTTCGAGCTGAGGTGACCGAGGAACCCTAACCCTTCGCCCCGCGGGGAGGGCTGGGGGCGGGCAGCTCCGCCGGCTCTACGTCTGCAGCAGGAAAACTCCGCGGAGGGAGGCGCGGGCTGGTTCCGGGCCGTCGCGGGGGAGGGGCGGAGGCGGGCAGAGGCGACCCAGGGACGCAGGGGACGCCGGGTCCCGCCCTGCACCTCTGCCAATGGTGGTCCCGCGGGTGAAGGTCAAGGTCAGCACAACGCCCCGCCCCCAGCACGTCTCTGTGCCCGGACGTGGGACGCAGCAGGAGCCAGGAGGAAGCGGAGGCCCCTGGGGGCCTGCTGGGGCCCCCAGCTCCGTGGGGTGAGGGGGGCGCCTCTCCAGCTCAGCGGGTCTGCCCTCCGCACCCCCACTAGCTCCCTGGGGCGTGCCCGCCCGCCCGGGGCAAAGGACTTGGCGTGGTCCTTGGGGCCCTCACAGATCGGGCTGTGGAGGACCCGGGACTGCGGGGAGGGGCCTGCGCGGTGTCCACAGACACGGAGACGCTGGAGGTAGATGAGAAGCAGAACCCCAGAGCCCGTCCACGGTGGCCCGGTTAATGAAAACTGTCCGTCCTGTGCCGTGTGGGCCCCAGAAGGAAGGCAGGCATTCCAGCCGGTTCTCCAGGGAGTGGGCGCCACAAATGAGCTTAATAGTTTCGGCCGGCTCTGTCTGCTCCACATCTTTCCAACTGAGCTTTCATAACAAGAAAAAATAGTTAGTGACAGAAAAATGTTCTCAGCTGGGGAGTGGGTGGAGCCCCCTGGCCCTGCCCTGCGTGGGGGCCCAGGGGTTGTCCGCCCGCCCTGCACAGGGTCATTCACTACCTCGAGGCTAGGGACCGTCGGGGCAGTGGGCAGTGGCGGTTCCGGGGTGGACAGGGCTGTGGGACCCAAGGAGGTGCTGCTTGAGGCCTGACCCTGGGAGGAGCTTTGGCTCAAAATATAAACGGTGATGCTGGGGTGGCGGGGGGGTGTTTATGAAGCTGCTGAGATGCAGCCGGGCTGCAGTTGGAGGGACCTCATTTGGTTGTCAGTTAATACACCATTGGTTTCGGGAGACACCAGGTGGCCCTCACTCCCTTCTCTCTGTTTGCAGCTACGTGTCGGCCATGGTGCCCGTGAAGTCCCCGCGGGAGTACTACGTGCAGCAGGAGGTCATCGTGCTGTTCTGTGAGACGGTGGAGAGGTGAGGCCACCCGGGAATGGCGGGGCTCCCGCTGCCCCGGGCCTGGGTGAGGGCTGCAGCGGGACAGGGGCACCATGTGCATGTGCCACGGGGCCTCCACACACACAACTACCTCAACCCCAGTGTCCCCTTTCTCTGGGCCGAGACCCTTGAGGTGGAGCTGACGTGGTTGAGAAGGGCTCCATGCTCACCTCATCACCTCCCTCACCTCTCACCTCATCACTTCCTCACCTTCTCGCCTCCTTTCTCCTCCCTCCCCCTCACCTCCTCACGTCCCTCACCTCCTCACCTCTCACCTCGTCACCTCCCTCACCTCTCACCTCCTCACCTCCCTCGCCTCTCACCTCCTCACCTCCCTCGCCTCTCACCTCCTCACCTCCCTCGCCTCTCACCTCCTCACCTCCCTCGCCTCTCACCTCCTCACCTCCCTCGCCTCTCACCTCCTCACCTCCCTCGCCTCTCACCTCCTCACCTCCCTCGCCTCTCACCTCCTCACCTCCCTCGCCTCTCACCTCCTCACCTCCCTCGCCTCTCACCTCCTCACCTCCCTCGCCTCTCACCTCCTCACCTCCCTCGCCTCTCACCTCCTCACCTCCCTCGCCTCTCACCTCCTCACCTCCCTCGCCTCTCACCTCCTCACCTCCCTCGCCTCTCACCTCCTCACCTCCCTCGCCTCTCACCTCCTCACCTCCCTCGCCTCTCACCTCCTCACCTCCCTCGCCTCTCACCTCCTCACCTCCCTCGCCTCTCACCTCCTCACCTCCCTCGCCTCTCACCTCCTCACCTCCCTCGCCTCTCACCTCCTCACCTCCCTCGCCTCTCACCTCCTCACCTCCCTCGCCTCTCACCTCCTCACCTCCCTCGCCTCTCACCTCCTCACCTCCCTCGCCTCTCACCTCCTCACCTCCCTCGCCTCTCACCTCCTCACCTCCCTCGCCTCTCACCTCCTCACCTCCCTCGCCTCTCACCTCCTCACCTCCCTCGCCTCTCACCTCCTCACCTCCCTCGCCTCTCACCTCCTCACCTCCCTCGCCTCTCACCTCCTCACCTCCCTCGCCTCTCACCTCCTCACCTCCCTCGCCTCTCACCTCCTCACCTCCCTCGCCTCTCACCTCCTCACCTCCCTCGCCTCTCACCTCCTCACCTCCCTCGCCTCTCACCTCCTCACCTCCCTCGCCTCTCACCTCCTCACCTCCCTCGCCTCTCACCTCCTCACCTCCCTCGCCTCTCACCTCCTCACCTCCCTCGCCTCTCACCTCCTCACCTCCCTCGCCTCTCACCTCCTCACCTCCCTCGCCTCTCACCTCCTCACCTCCCTCGCCTCTCACCTCCTCACCTCCCTCGCCTCTCACCTCCTCACCTCCCTCGCCTCTCACCTCCTCACCTCCCTCGCCTCTCACCTCCTCACCTCCCTCGCCTCTCACCTCCTCACCTCCCTCGCCTCTCACCTCCTCACCTCCCTCGCCTCTCACCTCCTCACCTCCCTCGCCTCTCACCTCCTCACCTCCCTCGCCTCTCACCTCCTCACCTCCCTCGCCTCTCACCTCCTCACCTCCCTCGCCTCTCACCTCCTCACCTCCCTCGCCTCTCACCTCCTCACCTCCCTCGCCTCTCACCTCCTCACCTCCCTCGCCTCTCACCTCCTCACCTCCCTCGCCTCTCACCTCCTCACCTCCCTCGCCTCTCACCTCCTCACCTCCCTCGCCTCTCACCTCCTCACCTCCCTCGCCTCTCACCTCCTCACCTCCCTCGCCTCTCACCTCCTCACCTCCCTCGCCTCTCACCTCCTCACCTCCCTCGCCTCTCACCTCCTCACCTCCCTCGCCTCTCACCTCCTCACCTCCCTCGCCTCTCACCTCCTCACCTCCCTCGCCTCTCACCTCCTCACCTCCCTCGCCTCTCACCTCCTCACCTCCCTCGCCTCTCACCTCCTCACCTCCCTCGCCTCTCACCTCCTCACCTCCCTCGCCTCTCACCTCCTCACCTCCCTCGCCTCTCACCTCCTCACCTCCCTCGCCTCTCACCTCCTCACCTCCCTCGCCTCTCACCTCCTCACCTCCCTCGCCTCTCACCTCCTCACCTCCCTCGCCTCTCACCTCCTCACCTCCCTCGCCTCTCACCTCCTCACCTCCCTCGCCTCTCACCTCCTCACCTCCCTCGCCTCTCACCTCCTCACCTCCCTCGCCTCTCACCTCCTCACCTCCCTCGCCTCTCACCTCCTCACCTCCCTCGCCTCTCACCTCCTCACCTCCCTCGCCTCTCACCTCCTCACCTCCCTCGCCTCTCACCTCCTCACCTCCCTCGCCTCTCACCTCCTCACCTCCCTCGCCTCTCACCTCCTCACCTCCCTCGCCTCTCACCTCCTCACCTCCCTCGCCTCTCACCTCCTCACCTCCCTCGCCTCTCACCTCCTCACCTCCCTCGCCTCTCACCTCCTCACCTCCCTCGCCTCTCACCTCCTCACCTCCCTCGCCTCTCACCTCCTCACCTCCCTCGCCTCTCACCTCCTCACCTCCCTCGCCTCTCACCTCCTCACCTCCCTCGCCTCTCACCTCCTCACCTCCCTCGCCTCTCACCTCCTCACCTCCCTCGCCTCTCACCTCCTCACCTCCCTCGCCTCTCACCTCCTCACCTCCCTCGCCTCTCACCTCCTCACCTCCCTCGCCTCTCACCTCCTCACCTCCCTCGCCTCTCACCTCCTCACCTCCCTCGCCTCTCACCTCCTCACCTCCCTCGCCTCTCACCTCCTCACCTCCCTCGCCTCTCACCTCCTCACCTCCCTCGCCTCTCACCTCCTCACCTCCCTCGCCTCTCACCTCCTCACCTCCCTCGCCTCTCACCTCCTCACCTCCCTCGCCTCTCACCTCCTCACCTCCCTCGCCTCTCACCTCCTCACCTCCCTCGCCTCTCACCTCCTCACCTCCCTCGCCTCTCACCTCCTCACCTCCCTCGCCTCTCACCTCCTCACCTCCCTCGCCTCTCACCTCCTCACCTCCCTCGCCTCTCACCTCCTCACCTCCCTCGCCTCTCACCTCCTCACCTCCCTCGCCTCTCACCTCCTCACCTCCCTCGCCTCTCACCTCCTCACCTCCCTCGCCTCTCACCTCCTCACCTCCCTCGCCTCTCACCTCCTCACCTCCCTCGCCTCTCACCTCCTCACCTCCCTCGCCTCTCACCTCCTCACCTCCCTCGCCTCTCACCTCCTCACCTCCCTCGCCTCTCACCTCCTCACCTCCCTCGCCTCTCACCTCCTCACCTCCCTCGCCTCTCACCTCCTCACCTCCCTCGCCTCTCACCTCCTCACCTCCCTCGCCTCTCACCTCCTCACCTCCCTCGCCTCTCACCTCCTCACCTCCCTCGCCTCTCACCTCCTCACCTCCCTCGCCTCTCACCTCCTCACCTCCCTCGCCTCTCACCTCCTCACCTCCCTCGCCTCTCACCTCCTCACCTCCCTCGCCTCTCACCTCCTCACCTCCCTCGCCTCTCACCTCCTCACCTCCCTCGCCTCTCACCTCCTCACCTCCCTCGCCTCTCACCTCCTCACCTCCCTCGCCTCTCACCTCCTCACCTCCCTCGCCTCTCACCTCCTCACCTCCCTCGCCTCTCACCTCCTCACCTCCCTCGCCTCTCACCTCCTCACCTCCCTCGCCTCTCACCTCCTCACCTCCCTCGCCTCTCACCTCCTCACCTCCCTCGCCTCTCACCTCCTCACCTCCCTCGCCTCTCACCTCCTCACCTCCCTCGCCTCTCACCTCCTCACCTCCCTCGCCTCTCACCTCCTCACCTCCCTCGCCTCTCACCTCCTCACCTCCCTCGCCTCTCACCTCCTCACCTCCCTCGCCTCTCACCTCCTCACCTCCCTCGCCTCTCACCTCCTCACCTCCCTCGCCTCTCACCTCCTCACCTCCCTCGCCTCTCACCTCCTCACCTCCCTCGCCTCTCACCTCCTCACCTCCCTCGCCTCTCACCTCCTCACCTCCCTCGCCTCTCACCTCCTCACCTCCCTCGCCTCTCACCTCCTCACCTCCCTCGCCTCTCACCTCCTCACCTCCCTCGCCTCTCACCTCCTCACCTCCCTCGCCTCTCACCTCCTCACCTCCCTCGCCTCTCACCTCCTCACCTCCCTCGCCTCTCACCTCCTCACCTCCCTCGCCTCTCACCTCCTCACCTCCCTCGCCTCTCACCTCCTCACCTCCCTCGCCTCTCACCTCCTCACCTCCCTCGCCTCTCACCTCCTCACCTCCCTCGCCTCTCACCTCCTCACCTCCCTCGCCTCTCACCTCCTCACCTCCCTCGCCTCTCACCTCCTCACCTCCCTCGCCTCTCACCTCCTCACCTCCCTCGCCTCTCACCTCCTCACCTCCCTCGCCTCTCACCTCCTCACCTCCCTCGCCTCTCACCTCCTCACCTCCCTCGCCTCTCACCTCCTCACCTCCCTCGCCTCTCACCTCCTCACCTCCCTCGCCTCTCACCTCCTCACCTCCCTCGCCTCTCACCTCCTCACCTCCCTCGCCTCTCACCTCCTCACCTCCCTCGCCTCTCACCTCCTCACCTCCCTCGCCTCTCACCTCCTCACCTCCCTCGCCTCTCACCTCCTCACCTCCCTCGCCTCTCACCTCCTCACCTCCCTCGCCTCTCACCTCCTCACCTCCCTCGCCTCTCACCTCCTCACCTCCCTCGCCTCTCACCTCCTCACCTCCCTCGCCTCTCACCTCCTCACCTCCCTCGCCTCTCACCTCCTCCCCTCCCTCACCTCTCACCTCTCACCTCCTCACCTCTCACCTCCCTCACCTCTCACCTCCTCACCTCCCTCACCTCTCACCTCCTCATCTCTCACCTCCCTCACCTCTCACCTCCTCACCTCCCTCACCTCCCACCTCCTCACCTCTCACCTCCCTCACCTCTCACCTCCTCACCTCCCTCACCTCTCACCTCCTCACTTCCTCACCTCCTCACTTCCTCACCTCCTCACTTCCTCACCTCCTCACTTCCTCACCTCCTCAC